AACTTTCTTGGACTAAGTTTTCAGTTCTTCCAGTATTGGAGATAATGCGTGAGTAGTTTGTAGCCTAATAATTTAGCAATTTATTAAAGTTGAAATATTTTCAGAAATTTGCTTATTTACTGTGCACTGAATGAAAAGATAATAGAAATTTAGAATGCGTGTGCTCAACCTAATAGAAACTCTCATAGGACACGAATCATCAATTAAAAAGAATGAACACCCATGCTACTTTGCCAAAAATATTTTCTTAATCAGAGCAGTAACTTTCGAACTACTGCAAATTTTATAGCGACACTCAAGGTCGCGCACATTCAAATGGTGATAGAAATGAACTAAGAACGTAGATGTTGGAGATAAAGTCAGGAATAAATACATTGTACCCATAAACATCCATATATAAGTATGCTATTGCAAGCTGAAATGGGTTTTCAAAATGAGGGCGATGTTGCACGAGTTTGGTCAAAACCTGCATGCGTGTTTCTGACATTTGGATGCGTCATGATTACAACTTACAATGTATATATGTACATATTTCATAGTAAGTAGTATATGATTGACTAGACAAAATTTCCTTGGGAGCACACGATCAGTTTCGCTGTACTCGTCAGACAGGCGAATCCGGTAATCTTTTGTCGATTCATTCATATACTTGTACCCAGGGAGTGTATTTTCATCACAATAATCTTGTTTGCATCATTTATAAAACATCGAATCATAGTATTGATTCTTCAATGGACCGGCTGTGAAAGAGCTGTCTATCTAAAAACTATCCGGTGTTGCAACTACGCTTATTGTGATTTAACGATGTTTTGAGATTTCTCGAACGTAGTTCGTTGAGGTGGTCAGCGACAAATCTTTCTAGGTCATTCCTTGTGTTTTGTAATCAGTGCTACTTGGGTTTCGTGTGATATCAAACGTTGCAGTGTCGTACACAGGCTGTTTCGAGGAGCCGAAGATACTTCTCTCTTCCACTAGGTTCTGTGCATTCTCAACACAGAGAGAGCCATCCCATCCAAACTCATCATTGTAATGTCGGTGGATAACAGATGTTAACAAAAAACTTCCGAATGATTTGCTTTCAGGAAACGCTGAAATCTGTTCAAAATCGCTTTCCGTAGTGACGCTTGTTTCCCCATGTTCACTTTGAGAAATCGAAATAAGGGCATACGATTTCCATCAAATTATTTCCTTTAGGATGATTCGTTACGGACTTGCAGCGGATGGTGTCTCCACGACTATCTCGTCCTACTGCTCATGTTTTCTCTCTCATCTTTCTAGTATTCGATTGTGTTATCAATTGAAAGATTCCGTTTTGATCCCGTTACCAGAATAAAAAACAAAACACCCAGCATTATAAAAGACCATCCTTGGTGTTGATGATTTTAAGCAACTTTTCCACCGTACGTTGTGACAGGCCGGCCCCTGATTCCTATCAATCAGGTTGTGGGTTTGCATTCGTTTTCCTACATGCATTCTTTTTCATTGTTGTGTACTTTCCTGCACTTTCCTCGCGTCAGGCTGATCGAGCAAATCTCCAGGCAACTGAGAAGCGCCTGGCCGAGGAACGCAAACAGCGAGCCGCACTGGAGCAACAGATTGCCGCTCAACAACAACAACAACAGCAGCAGCAGCACCAACAACAACATTCACGCGCCTCAGGCAGAAATCGAAAAGAGGCCTCGGAGGATCCGACAAATGCTTCGATATCGGCTTCTGTTAGGTAGGCATACTGGTCAATATATTCATTTGAAGTGCAAATCCTTTTCAAAGGGGCTCTCCTTGCACCTCTGTTCTTTTTTAATTTTAGGATAAATTTTGTCCTAGTGCAGTAGATCTCATAGAGAAACCATTTGTTACTCTGAACTATCCGGATGATATCACAATGCTCGGTGAGCAACCTGTGCTGAATCTTGTGGTCTTTGTGAGAATTCAATTTTATATTCGGTTTACCCTACCCAACTGAAAAGTGTTTCTCCAAAACTCGCTATTGGTGATGATTCTTTTTAAATTGTGGACATAGCTATTTACTCAGGAGTAAATTTTGAATTGGCGATGATTGTAGCGACTAAAAATGGGTTCATGAGAAAAGTTGATTTTTTTACGTCCGCCAGCCCAGGGCGTATGTACGGTGTGGGTGGGTACAACATCTATCTCTCTGTCTCTTTACGGACTAATATTCANTAATATTCAATGCCACAGTTCCAAGCCACATGCTTGTAAACAATCACTCCTGATTAAGGAATGCGGATGACTTTCGGTGGACAATAAATAATCATGCACTGTCGTGCACCGGTTTCGATCGCTATGTTTTGATTGCCAATTTGGATGAAGGTTTAGAGGGAAGATTGGAATGCTTTAAACAGCCTCATGGGTGAAATAGAGGATTTATACAGACTGTAGTTGCAAGAATAATCAGTAGCTGTATGGCGCTAGTGTTCGCGATAGCCATATCACCCAGAATCTCCTATCATCGAGTCCGAGGACATTCCAGTGTTTATGTGTGAAAATGACGCGTGAGTTCAACGCATGTGATAAATCAATAAAATACACCAGAGTAGACCACTCAGTGAACCCTGTGATTCTGGAATTGTGGACAAGAAATAGCGGATGGGGTGAAGCTCTGTTCAGTCCTGCGAATGAGGCTCAAAATGTCATGCCGTGGAATGAGGGTAACCGCCAAAAATCATAGTGTCGCACCGGTGCGATCAGTACATGTATATCCTGCTTATACACGCGAAAACGAACGTTTTGGTTGGTTCCGATAAATCTGTTTCTCTTGAACACTACTGTTCTAGCGCATTCAACGTATCCATGATGGTGTACAAACGATATGACGTTATCACCAAAACCGTTGTAGATTGCGATTGACACCATGTGCTAAATTCGTGTATCACTTCGCGCAACTTTAATTTGTTTAGACGTCTAAAGTTATTTAGTATCATTTGGTCTTTTGACCATTGTTTTTATCTGGACTAATCGATCGTTAGTCACTTTACCACGAAATGCATCAATTTCAAGGGAGGTATACTGAATTTCTCTTCTGGTCATTTTTACTCGTAACCTTCAGTTCACCTGTCACCGTCGGTATTTCCATGCACCGCGAATATTGTTCTTCGTTTTTCCCCATAACACTCTAGGGCTATGCTGTGGGCTGTG